AAGTACGTATTTTGTGATATAAATACAGGGTTGGATAAAAATCTGCACTCTCTCCATCCACACCCACTCAATAAGCTCTGGGGGACTCTATTTCACTTTAAGACTAGTAGGGACAAAAATTGTATCAGGATGAATGGCAAAAAGTACGTATTTTGTGATATAAATACAGGGTTGGATAAAAATCTGCACTCTCTCCATCCACACCCACTCAATAAGCTCTGGGGGACTCTATTTCACTTTAAGATTAGGCCCAAAAACTGTATCAGTATGGATGGATGGATAAATGGCAAAAAGTATGTATGCATGCATGATACAGGGTTGGATGATGCTAATGGGATGGAAATCTGCATCGATGCATCCTATTATTATTATCGTCATCACAGAGAGGCATTTATTACGCACTTCACTTCACTTTTACTCCCCAACCATGACATTCATTGTATTGTTGCAAGAGGAAAACGTGACGCGATCCAATGCAACATTGTATGGCATCAAATATATAACGGAACGCACGTTACTTGGAGTTCATGCATTTAAATAACAACGAGCCATCCGTAATTTATTGAAGAGTCGATTAATTAATTGATGGTGAGTGAAAGTATGATTCTTTTTTTTTTGCTGGATCAGCAGATCTTACAATTAGCTTGGTTTTTGTCTCTTCGAAACTTTCAATATCTTAAATCGTTATGAAAGTCTTTAAAAAATTGCTAACGACGCGATTCCTTGCAATTTTTTGCAATTTTTTTGCACTAGTTGAGTCTCCTTGTATTAGTGTCATTTCGTCATCTTAATTATTATTAATGTTGACATTTGACGTAAAAAAAATTCGGTAAGCCTGTCCGATAACTAATACTTGTTTCTTGCATATCAACCAACGCACGACATTTTTTCCCCCAGATCCTCTTGGCCACTTTCCAACCTGACTTGCGACGAGTGACGGATGCACATCACACATTTAGCAAGTTTACAACCATGTCCATCCATCCGTATGAAACTGATGGTTTTTCATGAGATGGATGGATGGATGTCGTTAATCATGCAGTTCATTAAGAGAGAAACTGGAAAAATATTGTAAACTAAATAAATGGTCGACTGTTATTACACAACCAAACCACAAGACCAATAATAAGTATGTAATGAACGATATATCATTGTGTTGTTGCGTCACACACGTTGCAAAACCATTACTTAATATTGACACGAGACAACACCGGGACGATTAGCAGCTTGGTTAAAGACATGTGGTGAAATGTTTCGGACACGGGTTGCTTTCGGGGCGATAAATATGTGGAGTACTTATTAAGTAGATTCGGGCTACTTTGTGTGAAGACTTTGTCCGTCCGTCCGTCTGTCTGTCAGTAGGATAACGGGAGAACGGGTTGAGATAATCGAGATCCGTTTGCGGCATCATAGATATGACCCCAGGGGGAGGATCCTATCAACTTTTGGGGTCAATCGGACCATCCCCTCGAGGTCAGGGGGTGTGGTTACATAATTTTCTGCTTTCACCATATTGCTATATTTGTTGTACGGTTTATTTTGTACAGATTTTGTTTTACATTTCATTATTATTTACTTAGTTTCTGCGGGAAGATGAGATTTCGTTTCGTTTCCCATCACATCGTGTTGGTTTTCTTCTTTTCGTGTGGTAGTAAATATTGGGCGAAGAGGAGTTGAATTGTAATGAGGGTGTAATGAGAGAAACCGGTCTTCCCCGTCTGCTGCTTCCAGAAGCTGAAAGTGTTCACGTAAATCATGAACCTCGAGAGAGAAAAAAACTCCCCGTCCGGACAAACAAACAAATAAACCAGTCATAACAATAATCCGGGCAGCCGGATTTATTTATTTGCTTGCTTTGACCGAAAACTCTGCGGTGGTGCTAATTTATGTCGGGTTGGTAGCAAAAGCGAAAGCAGCCATCATCTTACTAGTCTATTTGTTTCGTAAACATGCAAAATTTCAGTAACTGCTTCCACTTTTACAAAATTTAGTTTAGTCTCAAAATTTCCAAATTTTTACTGTGAAACATGAAGTTAAGTAAATGTTACACATCTTATTAGACCATTTGTTTCGTAAACATGTAAAATTTCCAGTAACGGCGTGAACCTTTACAAAATTTAGTTTACTCTCAAATTTCTAAATTTTTACTGTGAAATATGAAGTTAAGTAAGTATTACCCATCTTATATCACATTTGTTTCGTAAACATGTAAAATTTCCAGTAACGGCGTGAACCTTTACAAAAGTTAGTTTACTCTCAAAATATCCCATTTTTTTCATGAAACATACATTCCCATGTCAATCAGTCGAGGCGTGACGTGCCGTAAAATGCGACGACCTTCTCTGATTGGAAATCGTTGATGATGCAGAGAGAGGTAAAAATCCCTACCTGAGATTAATTAAGGATTCGAGATTATTGGACTCCATCCATTAATTGGACAAAGACCAGTAGCTGGTCTGGTCTGGTGGATGGATGCAGATGGAGGAGCACCTCTCTCTGAGAATAAGAAGACCCCGACGGATGCTCACCTCCTGCTGACATCGACCAAAAACCACATAGCGTTCTTCTTCCAACTCTTTTTTTCTTACTTTTATTACGCAACACAGCGATGGCCTGGAAGGAAGAATTAGTGGAGATACAGATGGATTCGATATGCCTTTTAATCGGGAGGGACGGTGTTTGCGCTACCGTGTTACATTCCTGTCGCTTAATTATTTATATTTGTGAGAGAGATGCGATTTGATGAGAATCTGATCACTCTGAGATGGAACGGATGGATGGATGGATGGACAGAGATTTAATTGAGTTTTGCTTCTGTCCGGTGGTTGAAAAGTAAAGCTGACTTGAAGCCTTGACTTTCTCAAGAGATAAATAATTATGATGGGAACTTATCTAAATTGGAGTGATTGGAGATTTCACCGAATGATTTATTTATACAAGTTTCGAAATGGTTTCGAAATGTCCATCTTGTGGTGATTTTAAATATGCGAATTGCACATTTTAATCGTATTGACGTCCAAGTTTGACATTTTTTGCAAAATAACCAACAAAATACTAATTAGATTTCGACGTATTCTTTACTCAAAACATAATTATCTGATAATTCGTATAGAAAATCGAATCCCTTATTTTAACCTTATTGACGTTAAACTTTGAAACATTTTGGAAAAACCACCATTTGCAAAATATAAATTATGGGATAAAGTTCAATTTGATTATAGAAACCTTTATGATCTAATAATTCACATAATAAATCAAATCCGAAATTTTACCTTATTGACGTCAGTTTGACAATTTTTGCAAAAATACAGTGCAAATTCGTCATATATTTTGGTTCCATCTGATAATTCATGTATTAAATCGAATCCCAAATTGTAACCTTATTGACGGTAAAGTTTAACATTTTTTTGCAAAAATTCACTTTTACTTGCAAAGTCTTGCATAATTTGCACCTCTTTTTTTTTCCTCCACGCATAGTACAAAACCCACTCAATCGAGAGAGGTGGACATTTGAGCAATTTATGACGACAAATGCATACACTTGGATTTGATAGTTTTGCTGGTGTGGTAAAGTAAATATGTGTAAAAAACAAACTTATTTTTCATGATGCTTCCCCAATCTCACCTAAATCTCAGCCAGAACCTCATCCCATAAACAAGGAGGAACTTCTTCTCCTTCTCCCACCCGACCAAAGTAATTACTAATTTGCATAACTGGCCAAGTTAGTTAAGCACAAGTTTAAAATGAATCCATAATCAGGTATAAAAATTAAATAACGCCCCGTCTCAATTTTCCTATCATGAAGAAATGCATGAATTAGACTCCCAAAAATTAAAGTGAGCCTTCACTTCTCCACAAATTGGAAGAAGTTATTAAAGTATCGTCATAAATAAGGAAATGAAATGTTTGGTGTCTGGTGTGAATTGGATGCACAAATATTTGGCTAGGCCACGCTAAATAAATTATGATTAATAAAAAACGGAGTGAAATCTTGAAAATAAAAATAAAATAATTGATTATTTATATTCATGGTCAATTCGATTCATATCCAATCCACGAGCAATAAACGATCACGACGGGGGGATTTGACCCCTGATCTGGGAGCAGGTAAGTAAAATGTAATTGGCTTGGCTGGAGGTCACCGTTATCGGTCCTGTTTAAGGAGCTAGTGTCAAAAGCGAGGCTTCCTTTGAGATTCCTTAAATGGTTGGTGGGTAGTGAGAAGTATTGGTGATTATCACTGCCCTCCCACGCATATGATTTTCTGTTGGTAATCAATCACTTCGTCACAATGTGCGAATTTGGACAATGACACTTGAATGAGATGGATGTGAAAAAAAATTGGGAAATGCAGTACGTACGTAAATAGGATGGATTAAATATAATAAGTTGCGTGTATGTACGTAAGTATATCCAAAAACCACGTGCTCAAGGTGTACGTAGCCACGCCATCAGTGGCCGCGGAAGCTTGAGGGGACAGAGGGACAATGTCCCCACGGTTGTCCGATGTCCCCATCATCTGCCCATGTTATACAAACCCCTTCATCCCCTATCCTACAATATTAATGTCCTCACAGCTTCCGCGGCCACTGCACGCCATGCATGGTTTAAGTCATTAATTAGCTTAATTTTTTTAATGGGTTCGATGTGGAAGTTTTTTTAATTGTATTTTTTTTGTTTGGCCTGTGATGTGACGCGATGTAGGCAATCAATCGGAAGGCTTGGCGACTGACGCAAGTTAGTCGACGATGATCTCAATTTAGCATTGTTGTTGTGATAATAATGACGAGATATCGAGTGGTTTTGAGAATAATGGAACTTTTTCGCTACTTATATGGTTATTTCAGGGAATGAAAATAACATCATGATTTTTATGTGACACTCGAGATAAGTTAAGATGGGTATGTAAAATTATACTATTTGCACTGTACTCGTATGCAGATGAGGGATCATCAATTAGCGGAGTGAGTGATAATTGTGATAATTTTATGATATGACGATATTACATAAATAGGACGTGGGAATAGAATTTGCTGCATTCGAGGTTGCATAATTGGTTTGTGAAAAAAAGTGGTGGAAAATATTAACCATACAAAATGCAGATTTCCAGTAAATTGTCCATAATTTTGGGGGTGGCAGTCCTACTATCGTCAGGAAATGGTAGGAAATAAATTTTTATGAAAATTTTTAAATCAGGAATTTTACTTGAAATTATTTTATTTTACAGCCCAATCACCCACACCTTCGCCAGATTTCGATGTAAGATTACATAACTTTCCCCTCAATTTTAGAAAATTTTAAATTTTCTCAATTTTTGAAAGTTACATGAATATATTTCCCCAATAGTGTCCCTCCTTTGACGACTCTATCCACCCCGACCCTCGCGATTGTTCGATGTACTTCGTCTGCACGAACGGTCTCGCTTGGCATGAATCCTGTCCCCCTGGCTTGCTCTTTGACCCCACAATTCTCGAATGCAACTGGCCACATCTCGTCCAATGTGCGGGATCCGGTCCAACCACCACCGTCAGAACGACGGTACCTCCTTCACCAACCACCACGGCAGCCCCACCATCCTCCGGACCCACAAACCCACCTCCCTCCACCACCCAAGGCCCCACCGACGAAACTGATCAACCCTCCACGACACCCGCTCCCACTACGTCCGCCCCCATTTCCACGACCTCACCCCCCGAAGGGTTCGAATGCCCCACTCTTGACGGCACTTTCCCCCACCCCGCGGACTGTAATGCTTATTACGTCTGCGAGGGCGGTGTCCCATCGGTCGCCCACTGTCCACCTGGACTTCATTACGATCCCATCCTGCAAGTCTGCAACTGGCCGGAAGATGCTGGATGTCAAGTTCCTCGCCTCATTTTTAAGAAACATTAACCCAACATTTGCGTATAAATATGTACATAGTTTAGTTTCATACATCAACTCTTAGTTTACTTTAGCACGTAATAAATGGAGTTTAAATGCGAAAATTAGCCATTAAACGTTACACTAAATTTTGATTTGCCATGCTAAAAGTGGATGGGAGACAAATTTCAAAACTGCAACTGTACGATGATGACGCAGAAGTGGTTTGGTTGTCGTTTCTGAGCGTCCTGCTGAGGTGAGACGAATTTTATCCCGTTCCGGCCTCCATCATATCATATCATATCGAAATTTTGGTAATGTAGCATGACCGAGGGGGATGGATGGATGGATGGATGCATGTCCACGTAGTAATAATAAAGTGTTGCAAATGAAATGTAGCAAAGGGGTGAACCGACACAGGAACATCAAAACTATATAGATTTTTGAAATCCCTGTACAAAACTACATCTAAAACGAATACACAAAATTCGACATTTTCGACTTTGGCGTCGTCTATACGGTCATGCAGCGATCGTACGTCAAAACTATGTCGAAAATCCCCACCTAGAACTACCTCTTAAACGACCAATACGAAAAATATGACACGTTATAGACCGTTGGTGTCACCTCCCTGGCGCCATGACCTTATGACCTACAACGCCCTTCTTCTAAATCATCCGTACCTTAAAAATTAGAAACACTTTGGCGAAAACGGCATTTCAAAATTCGAATCCATTCAAAAGTTATCATGGATACGGACAGACAGACGAATAGGCAAGACATTCCCATAAAGGGATTTCCCTTACTCTTCACCCCTTAATGAAACAGTATCGCGTGAAGTGGACAGAGACACATGTATCGCATCATGTCATGCCATCCAAGAAAAAAGAAGAACAAAACGGATCGCTAAATTATTAAGTGGACAGACACCGAGAGGATATATTTATGTGAATGTGGTGGCTACACGGGCAAATTAAGGGGACAAAGTAGTCAGGATTTTTCCCAATTAATACCTCCGTCCTACCCGTTTGTCATGTAAATTGTTCCCTTTCAACCCAGGAACAAACGAGGACATGCAATTGAGGAGGAGAATGGGATAATAACGGACCACTTGAAAAAAGTGCAATGCCAGCCAGCCAACTGTACGTAATAAATAGGAAAATATGTATCTCTTAACGTAACGTGGGTGTTTCTATGTGGGGAAGGCTAATTTGTGGCCGTTTTTACTGCAAAAGGTGCAATTATTTTGGGACAAGGGTAGGAAAAGTTTGGCAGGCTGGGAGCACCTGGAGAGAATAACTTTTAATAAACAAGTATCGTTTATGTGTAATTAATATATGAGAAAATTTGAGTGATTTGCATTTTTTGGAAAAATTTGACGTTGTTTTGCACATTTTTAAAGAAATTGAAATTTCAACACTTGAGCTAAGATCCTTTCACTTCCGGCTCTGGCCAAGAAGTTGGCATCATAATTTTCTACTTAATTAAAGCACACATAAGCATGAATTACCTAAGATGAGAATTAAACTAAAAATATTGTTAAACTTATATTTTATACATTTTTCTCCCTATCCTTTTTCTTTTCCTCCCACGGGAATACTTCGCAAAATTGAATTCATTTCCGGTCAAGGAGCATTTGGCATCATCATCATTCATCCTCTTCTCCTACCTTAAAAAGTAACCATTCCTTCCATAAATAAATTTCCATTCTTCTCTCCCGATTTCCTCAGACTTTTTGGAAACATTTATTTCATATTCTTCCTCTACCTCCTCCTCCTCTGAACTCCTCCTTTCCTTTCCTTCGTCTCGGTCTTCCTGTCCTGTCGTGTTGTTTGTTCCTCGTTCGTAACACCGGTGGTGGTGGCAAGTCTCGAAATAATTAATGAGACCCTGTTGGAGAGGTGTTATGAGAAAGTGACCAACTGTGAGATTTTAGAGTGTGTCAAGTGGGCAGAGACATCGCCAATAAATCACCAGTCCATTGAGCCCACTTACACCTTAAGCTACGTACGTACATACACTTCTCCTGCCTCCATTCAATTTAAGGTCCACGCCACAACCGACCGACCGACCACGCAGAATGAAAATGAACATGCGATCCCGACCAGAAGAGGAAAAAGGACTTTTACAAAAAAAAATCAATCAATTCCAACTTTGACACTTTCTTTTTCGCCTTTAACTTGACTTATCGAGAAGAAAATGCAAATAGTATGGAGGAAGAGGAGGAGGAATCTTTTAGGAAAATTAAGGATCCCATTCAAACCAAATTTTTGAACCACAAGCAGTCAACCAGCCAGATGGACGACACTGCTGGTTGGTAAAGTTTCTTTCTTCTCTGTCATCAATGATGACTCATCATCATCATGGCAGAAGCCAAGTCAAAGTCGATTTTTCCATTAGTTGGTAAAAGAAGTGATTTGATTAATTATGTTGCAGGCCAGCCTTCCTCACTCACCTTTTCTTAAAAGTCATGTGTAGCCAGTCATGCAAAAAGTTTTTTTTTTCTTATTAAGTATTTGTTGAGGACGAAATTATGTTTTTCAGAAGTTGGATTTGCATCAAGTGAAGGTGACGCGAACTTAATTAATTTTTTAAAATGAAATGAGCAAAGGTTGGTTGGGATAGAAAGAAAATTTGTTTCCAAATTGAAATTAGCATTTGGCACGAATTATTTTTTAGGTATGATTTATGACTTGAAAAAAAGTGCATGCATTAATGTTCGATTGCAATATTGGTTGGTTAAGTATTTGGGTATGCGTTTAATAGTATTGATTTGAATGGTGCGTGCATGTCGTGTTTGGTGTGAAAGAGGGCAACCCTTTGGCAGTTTGTCCATTTTTCATGTAAAACCATAAAGTGCACGAAACAAGTAAATACATAATTCGAGTCAGTAAAATCGGTAAAATGCACACTATTTCGTAAAATGGATGACTGAGACTGATGGACAGAGAAGAAGACAGTGTCGAATTCGTGCCAAAACTAAAAAAATACACTTTTCCATTCTCCTCAAAAAAACACTTTTAAAAAGTTAGGAAATGTTTTAAACCTGAAAATCAAATTATGTATGAAAGAAGAAAACTCATGTATTTACTACCAAACTCAATTTCCATTTCGTTCCAAAACGTTCCCAGAATTTAAACCTGTAGATAACCAACCAACTCTCTCTTTTGATGGGGAACTAGCAATTTAATTTTTGCTAACTTTTCCCTCCCTCCTCCTGTTTTCCTTCAGCCAAACTAACTTTTCGACTTCATTGAAAGATTATAAATTGGCTGCTGGGTGGACTGAATGGATTTGTGTGTGGTGTGGTCTTTACAGAGAGAATAGAGACGAGCCCCCCTCTAGGGACGTTGGGAAGTCAAGTCTCAAAGTCAACCTCCCAAGAAGTGATTAAAACAAAGGTGCCCAGTCGGAGAGGACGTATGAACGTAGGACGTTGATATTATTAGTATCAGCAGTAAAGCAGGCGGGCAGACTTATCATCATCATCCTCGTCATTTCATTATATAAGGTCGTGGTAGGTGGTGGTGGTGCTGGGAGATTTGCACTAAATAATAAAATAAAACAAAGTTGGTCGCGGACAAAGGGACCAAGCAGGAGCTCTTATCGCCCTCGAAGAGTTGCATACAAATGAATAAGGGGGGGCTGTCCATAAACTACGTAATGCAGGGGGGTCGATAAGGCTCTAATGAATTTCAATGGTTCGAGGCAACGTTTAAGGCTCTAATGAGATCGTAAAGGGAGTCTAGAAAATCGCGATTTCTCCATTACCTAATTTATGCACGGCCCCCTAACGAACAAAGACAGGGCAACAAAGTTTTAAGAAATCTGAAATCTGTTCCTGAGGGATGTTAGTTTCGTGGATGGAATTTTCCTCAAGTTTTCCTCAAGTCTCTGATTCTGACACTTCCACTTTCCACTTCAATTCAAACTCCAATCTGAACCCTGCATCTTTATTTTGAGAGAGAGAGAGACGAAGCAACTGAACCAGGACAAGACAAACCAGACATGTCGTCGTCAAGTCGAGTTAGATCTGAGGAGATGTATACGGGTTGGTTGTTGGAAATAAGTTTTTGGGGAGGGGATAAGGTATAGAATTTTTGGGAAATTTTCAAGAAATTTAACAAATTTGTATGGGGGAAAGCAAGCAGAGTCTACTTTCTCCATGGTGGTGGTGACTATAGGAGGGAAATCTTCTCCCTCCTCCTCCTCGTAATTAGGCACTTGATTAAGAAAATAATTAGATTTTGGCTCAAGTTGCGTCTCAAGTGATGTGAGGGAGGAGAATCGTCAACATACGCACGCAAGGACAATAAAACAAGCACTTTCTCCCAAATGACATCAACTTTGTTGGGATAATATCACAAGATCAGGGCTAAAGTTCATTTTGGTTGAGAGGAAAAAGCTACAAGTGGTAAAGAAGCAAGCACGAGACGACTTCTTGAACTTGTTGAACTTTTCAGAAATTTTAACTCTTCAAAAATTTTACAGTAATTTAATTTGTCAAATGTTAACGTCATTTCGGTTAATTTTGCAATATTGAATTAGATTGTAACAAAATTAGATATTGAAAGTGTCCTTCGCCAATCATTTAGTGTGATTTATACCAAAAAATGCCTTAAACTTTGACTTTTATCTATTTAAATAACGAGATAAAAAGTTATGCCTCGAATTAGTCAAGCTTGTTATTCAAACAAATGTCTCACACTTATCATCTCTCCCAAGAATAATAAATAAGATACACGTTGCATAAATATTTCCTTTTTATTATAGTACCCACGCCTATAATTTAGTTTAGTTTTCGTCCTTCTTCACCCTCTCAAAGAGATGAATGTACTGTTACATATTTCATTTCCCTTGGTCGTCATCGTCGACGTCGTTCCAGTCGTCAAGATGTTAGAGTTGTGTGGGTTTAGTAGGTAGGTAGGCAGATCGACCTAACTCCTCTACCTGGCTACTGACATGGACAAAGTGCCAGTTTTGGTGAAAGGTTTCATTAAGAGTATTACGAAACGAACCACCACCTACGACCAAAACCAAAGTAGTGCTTCCTCAACATCACCACTGTTTCTCAGTCGACAGAAATTAATGACAGGAGAGAAGGAATCCAGGAATTTCCTGTCAAAATCTAATGGAGAAATGCTTCAACCTTTCTCCCTCCCTCTCCTCTTCCCACCTTATTACCCACACATAAATAACTTGCATATAGGCTGTGGCGTACAGTGGCCGCGGAAGCGGTGGGGACATCGGGGGACATTAACATTGTAGGATGGGGGAGGGAGGGGTTTGTATAAGATGGGGAGATGATGGGGACATCGAACAACCGTGGGGACATTGTCCCTCTGTCATCACCCCTCCGCGGCCACTGCTGGCGTAAGAAGAAGTGGCTTAAATCTGGGAATAAATTCCTAAACTTATTTTATTTCCACTAATACATAAATAAGAAAACCAAGAAAAAAACAAAAATTCCCCTCTCTCCTTGAACTTGGTAGAAATCAGTCCAGAAATCTGGGAATAAATCCCCCCGCCTATTCATAAGAAAACCAAGAAAAAAATCAAAATTCCCTTCGCTGGGTGAGAAGTTGAACTTGTTTTGTTGGTGGAAATCAGTCCAGAAATTGAAACTGAAGTGGTGTTGAGGACTAATTTGTAAATTGGTGTAAGAAACCGCAAAGGGATGCATTGCTTGGTTTGGTTGACTAATGTGATATTGATGAAGCATGAAGGAAGAGTCTGAGGTGAGGAAATCTATTTACCACCTACCCATCCATCCTAATTACTCACTCATCCATCGGCCTCTTTTTTTCTCCGCTTCTTCGACACAACTTATTACGATTATTATTATTATTATAAATCCAATCCAATCCGCTATGTAAAAGTTAATTACAAAAACCTTCTTTCCCAACGAGAAGAATAATACGTGTGAGAGGAGAAATTGGAATGAGAAATTTTTCAAAATCTGAAAACCTTGATTCCGTGAAATGCATGCTTTAATGTGGTGATGATTCTCCCAATTTTGGTAAATGAGTAGTCTACTTTTTTAGGAAAAAAAGTAGGTAAAAATAAAATTATAACATTTTTTTTCTCTCTCATTATAATCGATTATTGCTCTCATCTCATCTCGCCTCACCTGAACTATTAACAGTTTATCTTTAATTGATCACAAATTAATTAGTTGATCTCTCTCATCCTGCTATACTTTTTGCTTTGGAAATCAAATCAGTGTCCGTCTGGCGTGCCAACTCAAGCAAAACAAACCACTTCATTCCCGACTTGGTGGAGTGGAACGACGAACGGTTTTGATCATCGTCATGGTCATGGAAGCAAGTTATAAAGTCAAAGTCGGGTTTCCCCTCCCCCTCGAGAAGTAGAGAAGAAGAAGTTAAAAGATGACCACTCAGATATCACATAAGTGACATGGACATGGACGGAAAAAGGAAAAATAGTAGTAGACCGACACAGCCAAACCAACATCATCTCCTCATCATCATCATCATTTGGGTGGAAATGACTTATCAAATCAGAAGATCTCGGCAGTGGTGGTGGTGTGACTGACAACGGAGCGACCCTATCGCCAAATTGCATCTCAGAGTCAGTCCACTACTAAAAGCCGTCATGTCCAGGCAAGAAGAAGTCAAATCGTCAGAGAGGAGAAGAACCAATCAATAAAATGTTTATGAAGATCCGACGATCGATGTAGAAAATGCTGATCTTTTTTTCTTCTGGTGAGAAGCTCATCAGATGTGTGTGTGCATGTACCTGTCTCACTTTACATGTATACATACGTTATTAGTCAACCTTGACCAGTTTTGTCTCACTTTTTGAGACAAAAAGCTACGCGAAAAAGGCTACTAAAGAATGTCCTGGTGGGTGAGTTGACTTTTGTAAATTGGCCAATTCAATTTATGTATTTCTTCATGAGAAGACAAAGCACAGGGAAGAAGAAATGTCGTCCCCACTTGACTCCATTCCCATCATTGATCCATTTAAGTTAGCTATTTAGCATGGCATTCCATTCTAAAGAAGTAGCAAAGCAAACGTAGCAGTGGTTTGGTTTGGTTTGGATTGGTGAAATGAAAAGAAACATTTTACTCGGATTTTCCATCCTAGAATAAGAAGAAGAGACAGGTTGGTTGCTTGTTGAGAAATGGATTTCGAATTTGAACCGGTGGTAGTGGTGGTGGATGGATGGATTGCTGTGGGATTAATCAGAGTGAAGTTATAGAAGGTGTCAACAAAATTAATGAATTAGAAGGCAGCAGAATATATAAGGTGATTCGTAATGATGGTGTCGAACAGCAGGGCACTCTCTTTCAAAAATGGGGGAGCTCTCAGCAGCATGGGGGCTTCGACTAACTACTTTTCTATATACCTTTCACACACAGAGAACACGGTACCAGCGACGACGAAATCATGAAGAAATATATATAAATACTTGTACCACTACCACCGAAATGGACGCTTTTTAACGTCACAGAGTACTCTCTCTCATCTACCAACCAAGCCCCAGCAGAACCGCATGGAGTCACATAATCCTCTAATTATAATTTCAAAGACAGAGAAGAAAATCAATGTGACAACGAAAAGAACGGTTTTATACGGTGGTTGGTGTTTGTATATAAGAAGAGTTCCACCACCACCACGATACAATGCATAGGATTAAGAGACGACATTAGATTTAATGATATTTTATTATTAAATTCCAGAATTTGACTGACTGCAGCTTAATGATTTGGTTGGTTTTATCTTTTATGTAACAACAATATGAATGGAATGGTGTGTAGCAAGACACACTTTTTTTAAAGTGATGATATCATATCACTTTGTGACTGACTGATAATATTGTCATTTCATTATTGTTTGTTTGTGTGTGGTAAACTAAAGCTCGGTCTATTATGTTAAAAATTATGATAACAGGGTAAATTACGTCATCTCGTGTATTTACATACAGTAATTAATAACAATGGTGCACATGATTATAAAACATGATCACATTCTAATTAAGTACGACGACAACAAGGACAGGACAGGACAAGACGTCAAGTCATAGTTTGGTTTTGTAGGTTTAACAAGAAGTGTAACAGTAATTATCATTATGAAGTCTTCTACCATACAACCATAACATGGGACGGAGCTAAGTTATCATTATGCACACGACTCTGTGGTCTGGGGAAGGATTGAATAGATTAATTCTAAACAAACTAACAATTTTTTTCTATTCATGTAGAATACATAACTTAACAGCAGGACTAATTGCACAAACAAAAAACAAAGAACTCAACAAACAAGGTAGTAGTTTTGATCTGTATAAAACTACGGAGACACTGAATTGTCAAATGCTCAATAAATTATTATAACACAATAATGACAGTAATTAGTGACTAAACTGAGGAGAATGATAAGTCAAAGAATTGAAATGGCAGGATATTTTGTTAGAAGTTTTAGTTTGGTACTATTTTTTGGTTTGGTTAGTTGGGGATTACGAGTATTTAAGTATTTGTGGATTGATTTCTTATTTAAAACCATATCAAAGAATTTACTTGAGAAGAATTGTCATCGATAACAGGATATCGTCTTTATCATCCCACTAAAATATTATTATTATCTGCTTTTGTCTTTAATTGAAATTGAGTGAAAAACTGAAAAATCACTTGGCTAAGATTAGGGTAACCAAATACATATTTAACATAAAGCAACTTATGTATCTGATGAAACAAAATCTTTAAACATCCTTTTTAGCCTTCCTTCCACCTTTTTTTGTTGGACTTGTCGAAGGTCCATTGTTAGCAGCCTGCTTTCCCTTTGGCGAAGCCTTACCCCCACCACCAGAACTCCCACCTGCCTTGCCACTCCCAGAAGATTTCTTTGCACTGGCGGAAGATTTTATCCTCTTGTTTGCAGGGCTGTTCCAATACCACACCATTTGCAAAGCGATCATTAGATTTACTCCGGTTGCTGCGAGATAGGTCAAAATTATGGTTCGGTCCCCAGTTTCTTGGATAGAGGTGAAAATTCGGGCTACAGATCCTCCCAGCAGCATAAATATCGTGATGGCAGAAAGTTGACCGGTTGATTGGTTCTTGTAATTTGTAACGGCTTGAATCAACTAATGGTAAATTATGAAAAAATAATTGAAATTAGCTAATTGCATCTTAACGGATCGAATATGATGTCATATCATTAAACGTAAACTTGTCCAACCTTGCTAACAACGATGACCGGAATTGTCGCAGCTTGCATGGACCTCAAAGTGTCAATTGGGGTCAATCCGGAAACAAGACCGTAAACTGAGGCGGAATATGCCACCAGGAAGCTGAGTGGCAATAAAGCGCTTCCATGATTGTACCAGAGGACGAGCATTGCCACAATTGCGGTTTGTACTGCCAGAAAACATGCCTCCCCCCATGCACTGGAATTAGAAAATCGAAATTAGACATAGATACTTACAAATTATTAAAATAAATGTCTGTCATTACCTGAACGGGTAGCCGCTAACAAATGAATACGACAAGTTTGACGTAATTGCAAACAATTCCAAAACAACGCTGATAAAGGTGATCCCAGCTGCACTTTTTCCTCCAAAAATTTTTAGAATTTGGGGAATCTTTACTGCAAATTCGTAAAACAAACCCATTACATTACCGTTTACGAATTTCTGCATGCAAAGCAGTTCATAATTCAAAATTCTCTTTACCCATCAATGATCCAAGAATAATTCCAAGACCGAGTCCCTTGCTCAGGGTGTACTTGAAGCAATCCTCTGTAAATTGTAAAAAAAGTCGGTTTAAAGGACTACCACAATTCATTAAATCCAAATTTTAGATCCCAAAATAGAGTCAACACCTTATTTCCGCTTTCAAATTCTGATAAGCACTTACCATCAAAGAAGTCAAAGTTCACAAAAAACCGTTCGAAACACTTTTCCGCGACGAGATAAGGAGTCAATACTTGTTTCATGTAATCCAAGTAGATTTCTGGGATGACACCTCCTTCCCCCACGCCCACATTTTCACCCCCACCAGCAGCATTGCCACCCGACATGGTTAACAAGTCAAGAGTTTTAATTAGTGTAATTAGTAATTAAATCTTAATTGTTGACTATTTAACATTAAAGTCAAAATTGAGTTAGCAACACAATCTGTGTGATTTGTTGTGTGCTGATTTGTACACCTCGACAGCCGACAGTTGAACTTCGTGCCACCGCGATATCAAATTCCGTGTTTTGTTTTTATTTACTGCAGATGAGAATTATTTATTCCGTCTAGGCTGAAAAATTTTGGAAATTTTGAACTTCAAAATTTGAAAGTATTTTATAGTTTCGCAAAGGAAACTTTACACTTCACGGGTGATAAGTGGTTATCAAGAGGAGGAAGAGGTGGGGAAAGATGGCAGGCAACTTTTGGCAGAGTTCTCATTGGTAAATTCACTTAAATAAATTAACTTTAAACTTTAAAGTGCAAAATTATAATTATCAATTGAGTTGTTTAACACAGCTTGTAATTTTGCTTTAAAAACAACTTTATTAATTGATCTACTTATTGTATGCTTTCAACAGGCAGCAATGGATTCTGGATAGATGGGACGTAGTCCGTGACAGGCAAGGGGATTTGTCACTATTGACGGAGGAAGAATACCAAAAAATTTTAATATTCTTTTGCAGTTGTGCGTAATTAATATTAGTGATCTATTTAAGGCTAAATCTGTTCATAATTTTATTTCCTACTCTCGTTTAGTCATGCAATCCTTGGGAGAATCATTAAAATTAAGACAGCAAGTTATATCAACAGCGATCGTTTATTTTAAAAGATTTTACGGTAAGTTGGTATCGCTTTATAGGATAGGATAACCCTAGCCGAATATTAACGTTTCATTTTTGAATTTTCAGCACGAAATTCTTTAAAATGCGTGGACCCATTATTACTCGCACCGACAGCGGTTTTCTTGGCTTCTAAAGTTGAAGAATTTGGAGTTATATCGAGTTAGAATGTTTTTAATTAATTTAATGTTGTGGACAATGATAAGATTATAGCAAAATGTTGTATCGCACTTCTAGATTCAAGATTGGTCCAGACGTGTCATCAAGTTGGTATGTTGGTAAAAAAATGCTAATAGCTAAAAAGCTAATTTAATTAACTAGAGTAATTGATGTATTTTTATCCTACTTGACCACAGTGAAGAACAAGTTTAACTACGCATACAGCCAGGAATTTCCCTACAGAACGAATCACATTTTAGAATGTGAGTTTTATCTCTTGGAGAATATGGATTGTTGCCTCATTGTTTATCAACCTTATCGACCCCTCACACAATTCATCCAGCAAGATTTGGGGCATGAAGAACAATTACTTCCGACGGCTTGGAGAATGGTGAATGACAGTTTGAGGACAGATTGCTCACTTTTATACCCGCCGTATCAAATCGCATTAGGTAATCACAAATAAATAGATAATACGACTTTGACATAAAAGTCGCCACATAAATTCATTAACGATTATTTTTTTGCTGCAGCCTGTTTACAAATGGCGTGTGTCGTAATGCAGAAAGACTGCAAAGCCTGGTTTGCCGACTTGAACGTGGACATGGAAAAACTTCAAGAAATTAGCAGATACATTCTCAGTTATTACGATTTGTGTAAAAATTACGATGAAAAGAAGGAAATCAAGATGATTTTGGATAAAATGCCAAAACCAAAATCGCAACCGAGCAGGTAATCCGTAAATACACACCGGAATTTGTATAACACAATAATTCAATATGTATGTAAAAACAAGTAGTATGTGTAGATTTGTATGTGGTTGCTTGATAATTTTCAATCGCCAATATGCACATCTAAAATCTAACTACACGATTTACTAACGATATTTTGAAAAATGCTTAATTGCTGTGGTTGTTGGTGGTGGTGGGGTTTGAAGTTAATTTGTCACTTGATTAACTTCAATTTCTTCCTCTTTTCTGTTTTAGTTAATGGTTGGTTAAAACAAACAAGGCAAACGTATGTTTGTTGTTGCTGTTCCAGACCTCCATCGTCAATGGGCGATCCGTCTTCTTCCGACCAGCAAAATCATCAGAATCAAATGACACTCAACACGGGATGACTATAATAAGCATGAAAATTGATACGAGTCGTGCTTTCTCCACCCACCTCCCTTTCCCAAAGATTTCAAAAACTACGGTGCCTGATGATGATGATATTTTCGAGGGTTAACTGGTGACATTTCGATCTATTTTACATAATAATATATTAAAACCTAAACGTGTTACCGAGTAGCTGATTTATAATAACCGATATGTATTTGTGGTGTTCTTAAAAAAATTAATTTACTTGTTAGCATAATTTTTAAGAACAGTTGTTTCAATTTAGTTTTCATACATTAAAGTTATTTTCTTTATTTCGAACTTGAAATAAAGTAATCGTAATCTCCAAAATTTCCAATATGACAACGAGTAGCAATTTTCTATGCCAACGGACCAATCAAATTTATGCATTACAGAAAAAGTTGTAATATTTTTTTGCAGCCCAAAATTTATCCGAGAACTGATTCATACTCAGCATAAATACTACTGATAAGTTACTGATGATAAACGCAACATGCATTTAGTAAAGTATTAGAATTGGATGACAATAATCTAAAAGGATGGCCATTTGGGGTACAACCACTAACCGAGCATCAGCTAAAAAAGTTTACCTCGTCATTGGAGTACTGTTAGTGCTGACTTTATCCGGATCGTTGGCGTTTTTTTGGAATAAATGCAAGTCTCTAAACTTTGAGTCATGAATGTTATATCGTGGTCATTCTGGACTGAAATTAATTACTTTGATCGGTTTTACTATTTTCAGACTACGATGACTACTTTGGTGATGATAATGACGATGATAATGACCCCCCTCAGGAATTGACATGTGAAGAGATTACCAGAACACGATCACTGGACGAGTACTGGGCATGTAAGTCGTATCATAAGAGAAATCAATTTTTCTTTGAATTTCTAACCAAGTCTTTGCCAGGTTTGGTCTTCGGTCCGACAAAGTTCCTGCTTCCGGAGGTCGATAAGGAGACGGTAGTTCCAGGAATATTTCCCATTCCGAAAGAAAAGAAGAAGAAGAAGCGTTCAAAACGACAAGCCTCGAGATCACTGCACGGCCCGTATCAAATGATAAATAGCGATAACTACTCATTGACGCTTACCCCTGATTCAAGTAAGTTATATATTACAAATCCAGAATCTCCTATGGTTCATTACTATTAATATTAATACCAAAATATGTTTTGTGTCCAGAGTATGGTGGTGTGCACAAAGATCCAGCAAACGATCCCTACTACCGCTCCTCTATATACGTATTCAAACCAGTTCCAAATGTGAATCAGAGACCTCCTCCGTGGTCATATGTGGGTCATTTCGGTAAGAGTTTCCCTTTTTATTGTAGAATCCGCCACACCAGAAGTTGAAAATACATTTTTCTGCTAAATGCTAGGAAAAAAGGAGTGGCATAATTTGGAGTTGGAGAAATTCATAGTTCCGGTAGGATTTGACGTTAAAGTTTTCTTTATACTAGAAACCCTCTTTGATTATAAAATGATACAGGTAAACAAAAACTTGAGCACCAGCAATAAACTCCTCGTCGGCGTATTTTCTGATTTATGGGACGAATGGAAACTTCTGAACGATACTAAATTTAGAGACGCGTTCTACAAGGAATTAGACCAAAATGAAAGATTCGGCTTAATTTATGCTTTGTACGAAGTACCACCATATACCAAGTTCATTCTTCCGTTGATCATGAATGACAACCCCTTCACAGACCTAAATCCAAATGCGCGTGTACTTACGAATAACGTGCTTGACGATGGAAATCCACAAACTGGCTACTATTCCTTGTATGAATTTATAAATATCTACTCTTCTTCACATATCATATTATGATGTATAAACTGGCTAATTAATTAAACTCCTTAGTATGCGATTTTACGTTCAATCTCGCCCACTCAAAGAGGACATCGACGCGAATACACACCTCCTACCCAAAACCATATACAATAACGGTCGATTGAGGGTGGCCATTCCAGCGAATTATCAAAAATTCATATCTCTTCTGACAACGCTAGATTCTCCATATAGCAAAGAACATCCCATGGGATATATTGATAAGTTTGTTTTGGAAGCATTTAAAAAATTCGCTGCTGCATTAGGCTTTGAATACGATCCTGTTCCTGGACCAGACGGGAAAATACAAAGCTATGAAGCTTCATTAATACGATGGATTCAATCTGCTATCATAGCCGACAGGGAGGAACAGGTCGACTTCGAGTCAAAGTTTAGCTTGCCCGTGTTTCCAAAAGAATTTCCAATTTGTCGAGATAAGGTATGTAGAAATTTGGATACTAGCGTATACTAACTAAAATCTGACCAAATCGGGTCATTCTAGGAACAATCACCTCTCGATATCAAAACGGCTAACGCCATCCAGTCGTCGCTAACGCCGTACAGAGTCCTAAATGGGGAACGCATGTGCAGATTCCAGATGTTTCTTCCTCCTGATGGAACCAGCCTGCGTACTTTAGTTTTAATTATACTTAATTGGCTTATTCGGACGAAAAATTTAACTAATTTTGCCTCCATCAGTGACCGTCCAATTTGAAAATTCCGGCAGACTTGGAGATTTTCCGCTTGAATTGAGGGGGGGAGCGGTACGAAGTGTCCCACTCTATCTTGAAGCAATGCACATCAGATACGGGACTGAGGAGGGGAAAGGTTCTGAACATCGAATTAATGGGAAAGCGTGAGTAGAACTATATATGTAGTAGTATGTCTATTAGAAAACAAATTTTGAAATTTGGGAACAAAATTTCACATTTTTTTTTGCCAGGTTTGACATGGAGCTTCAACTGCTTTTCTCGTATGAAGGACTCTCTACCAATCAACCCTACTGGTTCACGCTGACCCGTCAAATCTCTGACCTCTTCCCATTTAGAGAGAGACTCGTCCAAATGATATCCATATTTGTGAACGTTGACCACGTATGTAGAAACTTAAAATAATATTACATACATAAGTAGCAATCAAATATAATCCATTTGAACCAGGACATGCAAGACGATGATCCAGACTTATTACTGTTTGAAGGCCTGGTTCAAGCTGTATACCACTATCGGGCTCAACTAGAAAATGATCCAACGGCCCTAGGTAAGCTTAAAATTTTTGTTTTCACCTGATATCCTAAAATCATCTGAATTTCTTGCATTATAAGCTTTCTAATTACACAAATATACAGTCAAACATCCGAATTATATTTTACAAAATATTTTTTTACATGCCAGGAATCCGTCGATGGAGATCAAAAGATTTCGTTATCCGATTGAACGATTTTTTCCCAAAAAATAAAACTTATTACACGTATCGGGGAGGATTGTGAGTTGTTCTTGGTAGAATTAATTAAACTAATAATTAAATAAACTAATCAATAACTTTATCCTCAGGACTTTCCCCCCTTGCTTCAGTTACATTGTCTGGTCAGTTTATGAATCTCCAATCAGAATTTCACCCAAGCAGGTAAAACTAATTATATAGCTAACATCTCTGATTAATTTTTACAGTACTATTTTAATCCCATATGTATACAGTACACCGAATTCAAACTGTTGCAAGCACCTGCAGAAAGATCAGGATTCATGGCAGGAAACGTTCGAACCCCCGACGATATTTGGTCACAAGAAGAGCACGAGCCCAACATCCTTCCTTCGGAACGGTTGCGTCGAAAAGAATTGAGAATTAATCGTGCCGTCCTAAAAAGTTTACACGCGAGTAGCACCAATGATTCGGATTTCTACGATTATTTTAACGATTATGATGCCGCGTCGGTACCAAAACAGTCCTTGTTTGTGGTAGCGTTTTGCATTTTTTCTCGTAATTCGTGTATAATTTTGTTGATATAAAAAGATAGCAATGTTCAATTGTTCGTAGAAATAAAATCTGAAAATTTATTTTCCCTTGACATACATGTATACATATTAATTACCAAATGCAAAGGAAAATAATTATTATTCACGCTAAATAGTAGTATAATTAATTTACAGATTCATCCATGTACCACTTTTAGTTTAGATATTTTAATTTTTTCATCTTTACTGGGCCTAAGATCCTTTAATTGCTACTTTATTACGTTAGATTCACTACTTTTTTGTGTAAATTTAATGGCATTGGTTCCACATTGGTTAATATCAAATGAATAATTTGCATGCAAATCCATGAAAGAAAAGTACAGCTATAGCATTAACTAATAGTAAATATTATTTTATACCGAGAGTAGAATACTTTATACCACACCTTATTGTATTATATATAATTAAGTATTATTACAAATTCATTACACTGATGCTGATGATACCGGTAATCTATAATTAATTTAGTTACTCGCGTAATTAATTATGTATGTACATATGTTGTCGTTCCTATACTCAACATTTTATTGATAAGGCCGTTATAGAGATATATCTAGATCAAAATAAATTGTGCCGATTAAGGAAAAAAATCCACAAAAACTAGGTAAAAAGTGACACAGATTTAAACACAATAGGACAATTTTTATCTATTTAACAGGACAATTAATAAATGACTAAAAGTACGAATTATTCTAAAGAAAAATTCATCTCCAAATAGGGAAAAAGATTAGATGACGCTTTTTTACATAATGTAGCTTGTTGTGTAGAAATAGACGATCTTTAGGATTAAAAGTTTAAAAATTCCTCCATTACAATTATTTTATTCCTATAAGTTCGTGTGCATTCATTCATAATATTGATGATGGATCTTGATAAGTTGATGCTGCTGATAATCCTGCCATTTTACAACCAGACGATAAGTCCCGGCTTGGTTAATCCCCCAATTTGACAATTGATTGTGTGAGTTTGTCCGTTGAGGACAAAAACAGCGTCGGCCGACGGGGTGGCAAGATATTTGCTGAAGAGACCTTGCGACGATATGGACCGGGGAGGTGACCTCCAATTTGAGTCGCCAATGATGGCACTGACACCAGAAACCATCTCGACTTTCCCTGTGGAGAAAGTAAATTCGGAAACATTGAAGTTTTTTTATGTTCCCTTAGCTAGAAAATTGAAATTGTATACGGATTTGGGGTCAGTACCTGACTCTAAATCTACAAAGAGGACGTCATCCTTGTCCACCGAGCTGGCGTAGAGATCGTATGTGTGAGATCGTTGGGATGGAAAGAAGGTCACGTCGCTAATGTTTAGAGATGTCTTGACATCGAAAGAAAATTCGAGTCCGTTCTCTAGAAATTGGGAAGAATTAATTATGTAAATGAGTAGGATTTTAAAGAATGATATAAATTTATTGATTTAAAACGCTTTTATTCTAAGGCGAGACCCAAACGTAACCATGCACCCAAAAAAAATACGTGCATGGTTACGGCGAAGCCATAGTATGCAGTTAAGTGCCCACCTCAAAACAGTCAGATAAGATTGTGAGAGAACCATACGTCGTAGAGACATACGGTTTCGACCAATGGGTAGTAAATTCTGTGTAGTATTGTTTATAGATCTCTGGGCTTAATCGGTTCATAACTTCATGGTGTAATTCTCGTTTTAGTGACTTTTTTTCTGTATCTCAAAATATTCCGCTGAAAGTGAAAAATCGGCAAAGGGGAATCGAAAGGGCTTAAAAAATTATTAAGATCATTCTTTATGGTCATGAAAATCGGATGTAAAATGACGAAGTTATGGAGGTTTGAAATTTTTAAAATTCAGTTGTTACATGCATAGCAACTTAGGGAAAGAAATTATTTACATGTAAATGATGTGTAAATGATTATATAAGCCCGAGCTTATATAATCGTCACGTCCGTCTGTCTTTCGATAACTCTCTCAACCGTTGACCAATTTTGACCAAACTTGGTACAAACATGTGTCTGGGCAATGTAACGACCTAGTTAGAAGATGGGTTCGATCAGAAAAGTTTTGGACCGGTAGGGGTCATATAAATGGGTTGGGTATTAGGCACCAAAATTTCAAAATTGTGTTAGAAAGCTGAAATTTGACATAGAGGTTGATAATGGTTTCTAATATAAAGTAAAATTGTAATAATTTTCATCTGGAAGGACCCGATGGGGTGATACATACAGATTTTTAAAATTCATCCAATCAAGCTGAAATTTGGTGTGGGGATTGCTAGTTGCAACTAATAGAAGAATATGAATTGAAATTTAAAACATTCTTATCTGGAGCGACCCATACTGATTTTTCAAATTCATCAAATCGAGCTGAAATTTGGTAGATACATTTGTAATGGCTCGTAATGGAACAATATGAATTAAAATCTGAAAAATTTTCATCTGGGGCCCTACTGGGTGACCCATACGGATTTGTTTTAATCGTCGTATCGAACCGCAATTTGTTACATATGCTGCCCATTTCTACCAATCTAAGAATGTGAATTTAAATTAGAACCATTAGTTTTTATTATAAAAATGTTGATGTGCATTTATGATAAAATTTTGTGCAAAAAGTCTAATTGGGTGATAATCCCAATCTTTTCCTGACTCGGGCTATGCACTGTGGGTTTTTAATGGGAGTTAAAAAAATTGTTCACTTAAAAACTCCAAAATAAATAAATTTAAAAAAATAAAACTAAGGCGAGAGGCGCTATTACAAACACGAAACAAGCCCTCCCACCAACACCCCCGTCTCGCCGTGGCCCTATTAATATTTTTATATCTGGGGAGTGTAACCATAATTTATGATTCAAACTTTTAACTACAAATGTAAACTGTATTTAAGTTAATAAATATTACAATTTTATATTGCATTGCACTTTTAAAGCCTATTATCTGCAGTTCTTAATACATTACATTTACATTACAGTTACATTAATTTCAATTTAAACATGTTAATCAACAGAGTCCTGATAAATATATTCTTAAAAACCCCGAAACACTTATGTAAAATGTTTGATAAAATATGTATAAAAACATTTTTTAATTAAAGATGTTTGATCAAAGAAAACCTATACCTTAACCAAGATCCTAAAGTTTCAAATCTATCCGTATTGTAGCTGAAAAGTTTGGAATATACCCGGTTCATCAACCGTCGTAGAAAAAAATGAAATATTTACTTCTTAAAACCAACTTTTAACGTAGGCAATCATATGATTAAATACATTCTGCATTAAGAAATTTCAGAATTGAGCTAGCAGATTTTGAAGTTTGATTTCCGAAATTTGTGTCACAATTTTATGACACCATCACGAAAATGCATGCACCCATGGTGGCATATATACCCTATTATAGGTGGTTTTTTAAATCGTTTTGTATGATGCAGGAAAGAATTACAAAAAATAAAATTGTGGTTACACCCCCCAGATATAAAAATATTAATGGGGCCACGGCGAGACGGGGGTGTTGGTGGGAGGGCTTGTTTCGTGTTTGTAATAGCGCCTCTCGCCTTAGTTTTATTTTATTAAATTTATTTATTTTATATGTACCTCGAACGAGCTGAAGCAATAGCGTCGTTCCGTCCGGAGAATGCGACACGGTGACCAATTTCCTACTGTCTGGACTCAAGTAGGGCCTCCCAAGACGATCACCTTTTTTAATTCAAAATGGAAGTTAGTCTTGTTCAATTTTCGAATGAGGAAGTACATAAGAATACCTTTGTAATAGACTACTGAGTCAGTGAGAGCGTCCAAGACAAGTTGACCCGTTGCTGAAATTTTTAAGAATTTTTAGTATTTTAAAAATTTGTGAAAATTAAGTATGTATTATTTGAATTTGCAAATGCAAAAAATCGTCGTTTATGATTTCTTAAAAATTTAGAAAAATAATGATTGAAAAATCTATAAGTCAAATCTATACCTCGATTTGTAACGGGTTCGAAACATTCCACGATGACCATTCCGTCTATGAAATTTAGCCCAATATTAATTTTATTAAGTTTAAAACGCCCATTTATATTTAGTTGTTGCTTACACAGCGATGAGAACTGGATATGTTGTGGAACGCAGTTGTACGGTGTGAGATCGACCGATTTGGTGTAACGCAACGCCACGAGGTCCATCCTGGAGCAGAAGAGAACATTTAAAATAAATAAATTTTGTCACTTTCATCGGTGACATGGGTTCAACCGTCGGAAAAACTTACTTGTACAAACCACGACCATTCTTGTGACCCACGTAGGCATACCTGAATTACGAAATAGCAGAAGTTTAGGGTTATTGGCGATTAAATATTTTTTTCCTCTGGATTCAAGATTAGGGATTAGTTTCAAAATTTTGTCTTCACTGAATTAAGGATTACTTAATTCTAATCCGGATTAATAATCACCAATCCCTAATCCAGATTTTTCCCAACTCTAAATTGAGGAGAAAAGATCAAATTGAGATTGTATACCTGAACTGGGAGGAAGATTCCGAGTCAGGGGGAATAAAAAGGTGTTCCACGAGGTCAAAATGGCTATCGATGGGTTCCTACATGAAACACCGTACAAATTTCAGTGTCATTTACTTGCTATTCAATACATATTTCTTTAAAAATAAAAAGAAACGCTCTCTCACCGGATGAACGGTATGATGTTTCCGTTTCACTTTCCCTTCTCGGATCACTTGCAACGTTTTCTGCGTTGGAGTTTCGTCCGATCGCCAACACTCGACCCAAACCTGATCCAAATGAGGGACGTAGTGAAGCTCCACGGGGAATCTGGTATTTAGGAAACAATTATATCAATTTTCACCAATTCCCCCCCCCCCTCAAAAGAATAAAACAAACCTGTCCGTTGGAACCATATCGACCACAACCATTTGCGAATTTGAGATGACAAGAACACGGTCCAATTTCGGCTGCGATACATAAACGTAACTCGACGAGACGCGAATTGCTCGACCCCAGTCGCAAGAAACGGTATGATCCCCACAAACATAGTCCTGCCATAAAAAATTCATATATGTATCACCCCTTATTTTTACCACACCCGATTTTATTTAATACGCATTGATTCCTACCTGTGTCCCCGGAATAATATCCGTGCCCTGGATTTGATGCTGAATCCGACAAGTTGAAGGGTCATACACCGAAATTCCACGGGAGTGAAACACCAGGAATTGAGACTCGTTGATTTGCACTGGAAAAAGCAAAGCAAAACCAGAATTTTAAACCCATCCCAACCCATAATCTCCCAAAGAGAAAAGCATCATGTCCCTCCACACAAAGTGAAAAGTCTCGTCACTGCGGTTTTTCTACACTTATCCGAAAAATAGATGAGGATGCAACTCTAGGAGGCAAAGTGCTACTGGGTGGCCTTGCTCTCAAAGGTCTAAACTCATCCATATTTTAGTATATAGTTTGCTCATTTATGTCGGCACCTACCTGTGGCTGGCGTCTGCTGGTCGATAACCACCAGCGAACCGATGTCCAACCGTTTTCCGGCGGAGTTTTGACTCTGATAAGTCATCAAAGAAAACAAATTTATATACCTCGTGCATTTTCTAAATTTTCTAAAATTTCTAAAAAAAAATTTATTTTCTAAAAACTTTCACCCACCTTGCACATGTATGCCCCCGTGTCGGAAAAGTAAATGTCCTTCAACGTTAGCCTTATCCCGTCCCCTGTAACGACATACTTGTCCCCCATGTCGACAGGGAGGGGTTCATCATTCTTCAACCTTTAAAGATACCATATCATTAATGTACCATACTTAATCTTAACGATAAGCGCTTATCATACATAATACTTACCACTGCACAACAGGGAACGGTTCTCCAGTAACTCTGCACTCGAAACTGACCTCACAACCGGGCTGTTCCCACACGATGTGGGGCATGACACGAACGTCAGGTTGGTCTAGAGGTCAAGGTCAAAGGTCAATTAATTATTTAATTCGATCTTTAATTAACAAATATCCATGCTTTCTTACTCTGCACTGTGAGAACATGAGTCTGAATGACTTCCTGGTTTCGTTGAGCGTGACAACTATAATTTCCTGCATGGAGAAGTTGGATCTTGTTCAAATACAGCGTCCCATCCGGAAATACGCGGATTTGCTCGTCCTGATTCAAACTGGAGAGGTCAACCCCATATCGTCGCCAGACAATTGGCATGGGGGGACTCCCGCTCACGTCACATTTAATTTCGACATTGTCCCCGACGGACGCGGTCACGTGGGTGGTTTCGAGCGCTTTGTCCAACGAGATTACAGACACGCCTAATAAAAAACAAAGTATTAGGACATCTTATTCTCGAATTTAGCATATCCCGAGTAAAAATTTGGATGGATTTTCTGCATAAAATTGGCCAAATTTTATGCAGAAAAGCCTTATGCAGAGCGATTTCTGAAGAAACATATGCAGAAATATGCAGAATTATGCACATACGGTTCTGCAAAATAATAGTGACACAAATTTTCTGCAGGATTATGTAAAAAAAATATGCAGATTACATATATTTTTTGCTGATTACTACAGAATTCGTCACAGTGAATTCTACTCAGGATCATTTAACTTAACAAAAACTTACTGTAAAGCTTGTTAAATGCTGTATAAAACTCGTTAATATTCAACTGTCCGTTATGGTCAGAGTCGTCAAATCTCAGCAAATGCACGAGACTACACCCGGCCGCCAGTTTGATTAGAGATTCCTCCATATCGACCTAAATAAACGGAGGGATGAGATAAATCCACCAAAATTTCGGTCCTCCTCAACTAATAAAATCTACCCGAATTCCGAATTTGCATTCATAACTAGCCCAAAATGAGCTAAGCAAACACACAAAATACCACCACTACGTACCCTCTGAAGTTCTTCGTATTCCAGTGCGCCATTATTATTCTTATCGAAGTGGGAGAAAATAAGTGAGAGCAGATAATCCTTCCCTGCTTCCGGTCCTTCGCCCCCGCCGCCATCCAGCGAGCCGTCTTTGCCCCCTTCCATCGCCGCCTTAAAGTTTCGCACACCGCCAATCATCCTCTCGTGATTGTAGAGGAGAAGGTTATCCTAAAAAGTAAGTGAAAGTTATGCAAGGGTCCGTTCCTTTTTGCGGCCCTTTTTTCGGATAAAATTGTCCTCTTATCTCGGTCTGATTCTTCTTCACGAGGAGAAAGCGGGTGAAAGTAGTATAGGAAAAGGACAGGCTATTTTGGTCGAGAAGGCATGAATGACTGCATAGACATGCATGTGCGACCAAGGAGAAAGTAAATATTGGGTCGGCTTCCACCTTTTTTGGGAGAAAGTTCCCGTCCGAGAAGCTCTCTTTTCGCAGAATGGAGGTCTCCCAGTGTATGCTCACAGATTTGTGAGCAAACTAGTGTCACAACCGATCACAAATTTAATTAGAATGAAATTTGCGAATGCCAATGCTCAGGTTTGGCAGAGATATTTGCACAAAATTAGAGGATAAAACTTAAAACTCGCCCCAAGGTCTACAAGTTTTGCACTTTCCTTTCGTTTTCTCCTCTTTGGATGCAAATATCTTCGCCAAATTTCCGTATTGGCAGATAGCGCTATTCGCAAATTTCATCCTAATCAAATTTGTCATCGATTGAGACCAGTTTCGCCCAAAACCTGTGCATACCCTGGGGGACCTCCATCCTCCGTTATAAATGAAACTGGACTGGTGTGAAATAATACGAGGTTTTTTTCGCCTCTCTTCTTCATCTTTTCCTCATGGTAATATACTACTCAACATAAAAGCAGACTGCATTTACTTTATCCGAGTCAGGCCACACCGAATATTATCTCCTCTCTCTCTCTTTCTCAGAGTCTCTAGTCAATTCATGCTTCGGGAGACATTACACCCACCAAACCATATTTACCCACATTTGATCAGTCAACTCACGTACTTTTAATATTTCATATTCCTGCGGCGAGCATCGGTTAGTTGAAGAATCTCTGGGTCTGATTTCTTGTCGGGAGGAGGATGATGACGGAAAAACAGGTCGTTGTTGGCTCATTCGTCGCACTGGTGGTGGTGCAAAAGTGGTCGTTAAAAATGGCCGATTTTCTACTTTTTGACCGTCCATGGCTAATTCTTCGTCCTCCTGTTCTTTAAGTTCTTGGTCGAGTTCGAGTTCTTCGTCGTCTTCTTCGTCATCATCGTCATCTTCATCGTCGTCCAGCTCGTCCTCGTCGTCGATATCTTCTAACAAATTGTCCTCATCTTTCGACCATTTCTGTTTCTTGGTCACCTTTTTTTCGATAAACTTGGCGTCGTCCTTGTCCTCGCCGTATTTTGCTCCGTAATTATAATCGCGCACATCGTTTTCCGAGAGACCACCTACAAAAAAAGGGAGAGATGAAAGAAAGGGTTAGTTCGTTTTTTCTTAAGAAAAAAGGGTAAATTACAAATTGGGTATCTAGAAAAAGGGGAAAACTTGGCCTAAAAGTCAGTCAAGTGTACATAAACGAAGAAGGAGGGAAAATCGACATGTGGAGAATTTCTAATGAATACAAAGATCAAGGAATAACAGGAAGGAAGTCGAAACCTTGAGTGCACACATCCGATTGTTAACTACTAACAACGGATGTGGTGGTCCAGCAATATGATGCCGATAAGTGCTTATCTTATCGTGTTCAAATCTATCTATATGTACCTAAAATTGTACAGTGTGAAATACCAAAAACGCCAAAAGCAGATGGGTCTCTTGGAGGCAAATACATACACCTCGATGAGTTGATCTGCCTCTGCTGGCCAGACATCAAATTGGATCCAAGGGTGAAAGTCAGCAGAGCAAAGAAATCCCAATTTCCTGCCTTTCCTCTCTCTCAGTTATGGTCTGGTGGTGCAATTCTGCGCTACAATGGTCACATTAGAGTGTCCTCATCGTCGTGGAGAGGGGCGCAATAATCACAGGTTGGGAAAGACGAATAGGGACGAATTTAACTGGTCAAGTTACTTAAATTCGAGATCCGAAATGGTCAAAAGAGTTGGAACTTTCTCTTCAGAGTAATTTTACTTTATTCGATTTCATTTCTCAGCGATTCTACTTTCACTTTACGCAATTCCACTTTCTCCAGTGAATAAAGAACCAAATTCGTCGAATCGTGATTAAGCCCTCGTTTATTATTTTCTCCAAGTTTTAATCTAAATGTCGCAATTTTTTAGGGTAAAGTTCCTCATCATCATCATTCCCACGACCTAAATACCGTTTAACCCTTGATGAATGGATAAGAGTGAGAAGAAACATGTTGATTAATTCATTAGTTTATATTGGAAGTGAAAATTGTTCATTTGTTATTTTCTCCTCGACTTTCATTAAGACCTTTTTTGGTGAGAATCCAGGTTAGTTTTTCTCCATGTATGTATGTATTTAATTTATTTGGAGAAAGTTACGAGAGAGAGAAAGCTTACCGTGATCGCGTGGAGAGATCGAAAACTATGCGATACTACTAAACACGAGATGATCATCCAAATTCAATTTGCGCAAGGAAAAAACTAAACTTTCTCCGGGGTAGTTTGTTCGATGGGACTATTTACATTCTTGTAAGTTTCGCTTTTTGTAGGGATTTCAAGTCGAGATAAGTGAATGGATGAATGAAAGTGATCATTAAGCATGCGAAATAGACATTAGGAAAAGAGTTTGGACAGGCTAAAATGGGGTTAATCGGTATGTCTTTCTAATGATAGTTTGAGTACATTACAAATTTTTATAAATTTTGAAAATTACAAAAACAAAAAAATTATATAATATCTTTAACGGCATTGGAAGACGTTTTTGAAATCGAATCTAATCTTGACAAGCTTTCAGTACGTACAAATACCTTCATCAGGTCATAAATTAAAAAAAACATAAAAATTTTCTAAAATTCTTCAGTACATTGCATAATTTAATTAGAGGTGGTTAAAAAATGAGCTAATTTTGCTAAAAATTGTCTCATTTTTTCCTAAAAACAGTCTAAAACCCCCCAAAAACTAAATCTCTCCCAGAAAACTGAGCCCTTCCTTCCCAGCTCCCACTTTTCTCTACAAACTACAACAATATAACTGAGCCCGTCATCATCATCTACATCATCGTCGTGTCGCATCCAAATTGAAGCAGTGTCCTCATCCTCGTCTTTCTCCCTCCACTTTCTCCTCTCTTCGCACATTCCCATCTCACATCACATCACATTTTCCTCATTCCTCACCAGTCACTCGGAGATACATATGTAGATACATATGCAGTATCATCAAATTCTCGTAGAACCACCACCACCAGCAGAAGGACGACGACAAATAAATTGCATCCGATTTGATTTGAATGCCCTCCGACTCTAAAGAAAAACGGAACTAAACTCTTCTGTCTTTCTCCCCAATAAAATAGAAGTTTTGTTCTCTGAGTACAAAATATTTCTCAAATTACACTCTTTCCCCGTAGTAAAAATAAAAATAGTGAAAAAAAGAAGAAAGTTTTTTCTATTTTCTTTATTTTATTTTATGCCTTACTCCGATCGACAGAGGGAAAAAATCAAAGGAATTTAAACAGCGGGTGAAAGAATGTCGTCGTCGTGACGAGCAGTGGCCGCGGACAGAGGGACAATGTCCCCACGGTTGTTCGATGTCCGCATCATCTCCCCATGTTATATAAACCCCTCCCTCCCCTATCCTACAATGTTAATGTCCCCACAGCTTCCGCGGCCACTGGTATATAAGAAGTAAACTTATTGTTACGTAGTCGTCGCCCTACTTCGATGACTAACTCAACTTTCTCTTTTTTATGTATGTTGAGTTGAGTTGGTGGGTTTTAGAATGTAAAATAACATAAAACAAAGGAGGGAAAAAGAAAGTTCGCGGGAGAAAGGAGACGAAAAGGGATGAAAGGTTTGACATATGCCAAACTAACTGATGGAGGAATCCAATTGAATTTTTCGATATTCAATTTTATCTCGAAATGGACTACGAAGCAGTCAAGAGTGAAAGTGTGTTTTGAAACAAAATATAGTTTCAGAAGACAAGGTGACGTCGTGTCTTTAAGTATGAAGGGTCACATCACTGTCCGCTGTCATCTTCCGGATATTAATCTCTCAGGGTGAAAGTTTAACCCTTTTCTACACCATGATTGAAATGTAGGCAGTGGCCGCGGAAGCTTGAGGGGACAGAGGGACAATTTCCCCAAGGTTATTCTACGTCCCCATCATCTGCCCATGTTATATAAACCCCTCCCTCCCTTATCCTACAATGGCAATGTCCCCAGATGTCCCCACAGCTTCCGCGGCCACTGAATGTATGTGGGCAGGAGAAAATAATGTGAAAATTTCTCTTTTCCTTTATTTTACCTATCACATCAATAATTTACAATTTAATGAAAATATTTATGTTTATGTTTTCTTTATCTTTTTTTATTTATGCTGAAATTTTATTCCCTTGTAAAAAAAATGGAAATCGAATTCTGCTTCTGCATAATGCAAGGTTTTTTCTTACGAAACCATATCGTCCAGTCCACCTCTGGGTCACATTATGGAGAAAAGAAGGAATCATCAATCAATAATCCGCGGTTCAATCCGATCCGCAAAAGTTATTGGAATTTTACTTTCCTGGTGAAAGAATCTATTTAAAAGTGAAATGGGTGTATGAAAAGTAGGTGAAGAAGGCAGGAGGCAGCCATGTGTGTAACCGTCCAATGAAGCATTCATCCATCCATCCAATTCAGCGAGGGAGCCTGCTTTCTCCTACTTTGGTTGAGGTGAAAGTAAAATCCGTGTCCATATTTTAATGCAAATTTCCATCCCGTTTTAATGCTCTTTTTCATCATCATGCATAATTCAATTTAGGATTAAGCCCTAGGAGGACGGGACGAGGGTGGTTTGGGCAGATGGATGGATTCCTGTCGAAAAAAAGGTCTACCACTACTACTACCTGTGTCTAGTAATATCCTGTCTTTCTTACTACCCGGGTATTCTACTCCCGAATTTTCCCTACTTCCTCAATAAAAACCAACTTTCCTCACTTCCTAGTACGTTGGGAGAGAGTGAAAGTATTTATATTTTCCGGTAATGTCATTCAGTTTGCGGCACGGTGTTTCGCGTTATTTACATTTTGCGCAATTTGTGAAAATCTGGTGAGTTTTGGGGTCGAAAAATAAAAACAATGCGAAATAAAGTATATAAAGGTTGGACAGATACATCTCTTTGGAATGCTGTACCTAAATATGACTTGTAATTAGTAATGTCGTTAATTACAACGTGTAACTTGATGAAATTTACTTTTTTTACTTATTTTTTTAGAACACGGTAAAAGTCAAATGTTAAAAAAATACGGGTTTTTTCTACTCCCTTGTAAAAAAACCTCATCTGCATTACGCTATCTTTTACGCAACTTTCTCTCCTTTTTATCTCTCCACATGCATACCATACACACGACGGGCTAAAACTTGATGTGTTTTCATATTTGCGCCAGCCTCGTTTTTTTTCTCTGTGAGGACTTTACAACCTACAAAAATGTACCTCCAACTGAGGGAGAAAGGCTGACGTGCAGTGGCCGCGGAAGCTGTGGGGACATTAACATTGTAGGATAGGGGAGGGAGGGGTTTATATAAGATGGGGGGATGATGGGGACATCGAACAACCGTGGGGACATTGTCCCTCTGTCCCCCAATTCCGCGGCCACTGCATCATTCTTACACATTTGAGTAGTCAGAATTCTCCCAATGGCCGCGGAAGCTGTGGGGACATCGGGGGACATTAACATTATAGGATAGGGGAGGGAGGGGTTTATATAACATGGGCAGATGATGCGGACACCGAATAACCCTGGGGACATTGTCCACACCCTTCCGCGGCCACTGATCACCACCACCCAGGGAAAATGTGGCCCGGAGAAGAAAGTGAGGTGTTTCTCTGTTTGTCTTGTACTTTTACTTTTACTCTTCTAGCCCCCAATTCCGTCTGGGTTGATGACTTTCAAGAATTTTTTGATGGCGTATAAAACACGGAGAAAGTGCCCTTGCTATTATTTTTTTTGTCACAAAGGGGCAAAATAATGCGTGGCTGGGTAAATAGGTAGACAAGAGGAGAGAAGGAAAAGGTTGTTGGTACTTGATTTTATTTGTTTGAACAACACCAACATCAAAGTGCGTGTTGAAATGACGCAGCGGAAATTGGCAGTATTTCTGCTCTTGACGTTATGATTGTGATGGTAAAAAAATATGACGTGAAATGGATTAAAATCTGGGACAAAATTCATCCTGGTGACAAGTCGAGGTGGGTGAAAGTTAAGTGAAAGTTGAGCCTTTTTCCCATGCAAAACTTTCTCCGATGAGGAAACAAGGAGACAAACAAGAAAGTGAAAATACGATCATGTGCTCACCTTTATTTCCACCATCCAACTTTTGTTGACCTCGTTTTCCCTTGTTCTTGTTCTTCTTGTCCTTATTATTGTTCTTGTTGTTCTTGGGTTTAAATTGTGGGCAGGAGGTCGCCGTGTGGTCGATGGAGAGTTGAGGACCGTCCGTGGAGAGACAATTTTTGCGGTGAAGTTCGCAATGCGTCGAATACCAGGAGCCATCCGTGCCACAAACGGGAGATGAGGATTCCTTGGGACATTCTTGGACACAGCCGCACTTTGCGAGGCCATCAGATCCAATTTCACACTGCTTTCCAGCACCGCACCACCAACCGTCGCATGCTCCGACTGGACAGAGTGGTTATAAAATAGAGGAGATGTAATATGATATTTGAGATTCAACCTTTTGACCCTCGATATTAAATTTCTGATCAAATTGAAATTTTATGCCTGAGATTTCCCTCCTGGCTAAATAATTGCTTTGTTAAACAATAATTGTAGATGTTTATTCGACTTACGAGGTGAAATAGTGGGCCGGGTCGTGCTCTTTGGTGTGCTTATCTCTCGTGGTCGGTGGTGTCTCGAACTTCTCTGTAAATTAAGAAAAAATGCATAAATTAGTATAAAAAATCAATTCAAATATTGAAAGTATGAATTTCAGATCTACTATTTTTCCCGGAAAAGATATAATGAATCACTTTTTAGGCCTTTTAAGATGGCCTTATAGATTTACCAAGATGTCTGTCTGTCCGTCCGTCTGTGCGTCCGTCTGTGCGCACGATAACTCTCTTTAAACAAAAGCTATCGACTTGAAATTTTGCACACTTCATCTTCGGGTCAAAAGTAAGGATGAGTTCGGAGATGGGCATGATCGGCCAAGTAGTTGGCCGGTGGGGGTCATTACTATCCAAATGCGTTGCCCTTAACTACCAAGAACCTTTAGAGCAGGTTAAATTATTTAAGTGCAAGTAAAATATTTGTAGCTTGAAAAATATCTATAGTAATAATTTTCAGTAATTTTAGTATGAAGATTGCGACTGACCTCAAAGCGTTTAAATTGGAATGAAGTTTCAGAAATTTTAAACCTGGGAGACCCGATAGGGTGACCCGACGGATTTCTAAAATTTGTAGTACGTAGTTGAAATTTGGAACAAAGGTTGCTAGTGGATTGTAACAGAAAAAACTGAATTTAGGTTGGAACAATTTTAATCTTGATGGACCCTATGGGGTGACCCATACTGATTTTTCAAAATCGTCATATCGAAGTGAAATTTGGGAGAGAGGTTGCAAATGGGTCTTAATGGAACAATATGAAATGAAATTGGTAAAATTTATATCTGATGCGGTTATCCATATCTATTTTTAGAAATTGCGTTAAAAACATGAAATCCGGCACGGTAATACTTACAATTAGTGGCTTCTCATCAAAGAACTTGAAATTAAAAGTTAGCTAACAAGGGATACTTTCGAGGTGATAATCGTGTCCAGGGTACCACTCATTGGTCTAAATGTTTTTTGATCGAGTGTTTCTCACGGGTTCGGGTTCTTACTTCGGGTTTCGGGTTCGGATCGGGTTTGGGTCCTGCTTCGGATACGAAATTTCAGAACCCGAAACTTTCGGGTTCGGGTTCGGGTCCGAGAAATGTGAGCCCAAAATTTCGGGTTCAGGTCGGGTTCGGGTTCCGACTAAGAACCTGAAACCCGAACCAACAAGAACTTTTTGCCACAACGAATACGAAAACATTAAAAAAGAAAATAAAGTGTTAACCACACTTGCTACGACGGTTATGCTGCAGTAATTCATTAAATAATTCAAATTTTTAATTGTCGTAACTTCTTTTCACAAGTGTCTTCAATTAGTGTTATGGTTTGAATATTAAAATAAAATATATTTTTTTATCAAAAATTTGCTAAATAGTTAGCTTGAGCTTACTTTAATATTGGAAACTTGAAACTGAAAATCATTTTCAGTTTTCAACTGATTTAAAAATTTCTGAATGTCACGGAAAGCCATTATCCATGGTCGATTTTTTGAGATTGCATTATTATGGTCGAGGAATTAAGATTCACATTTTAAAATGCGTTATGTACTTATGCAGAAATGTGCTTAATTATAATTCCTCGGTCATATTTACAGAAGTATTGTTTGTTTGAAACCTTTAGGCTAAAAAGCCAGTCACCCCTTAAAGTTAAAATATATTCGGTTTTTCGGGTTCGGGTTTCGGATTTGATCCGCCAGTTCGGGTTCGGATCCTTGCAAACGGGTTTCGGGTTCTTCGGGTTCGGGTTGCCCTCAAGTTTCGGATCAGTAGTATCGGGTTCGGGTTTCGGATTTGCAAGAACCCGACCCGTGAGAAACACTAATACCCATCTTCGAACTCGGTCGTTGCCCAGATGCATGTCTGTATCAAATTTGGTAAAAATCAGCCTACTCCTTCGAGAGTTATGGAAAGACAGACAGACGGACAGGTCGATTACATAAGCCCTAGTTCGGGCTAAAAATTATATGCCAATCGTTCATTAGAGTCTGGCTTTTATGTAATAATGCCGTCTTAAAAGGCCCCGCGAAGTTGCTTGGAGTAGGTTTTATATCAATGTTCTTCAACTTCAGGATATAAACGTCGTATTTTAAATTTCACAAATTTTGAAAATTGGGCATTTTTTATCTACCTAATTTTATGCTACGTATATGTATACATCTTTTACTTTATTAAATGAATACCAATATCCTTTCGGTCTGCGGATACCAAAACTAAGTCATGCTTTTGAACGATATTTAACCAATGGATTATTTATGGCAAGAAAATCATGTTCGTTTCAGTTTCCTGCCTCGTCGTCTCTCTTCCTCTCGCCAAAGAAAACGAAACGCCAACCACTTTCTCCCCCAACCCAACACCAACCAAGCCAAGGAAGGAGCCCGGCCAAGAATCTGGTTATTCCAGAATCTCTACACAGCAGATTTATGATTTATAATCTCTCAGCCAATTTCCATCAACAGGAAGGAACATCTTATTTCAGTCCAGTGAAGCAAGTTCACAGTCGATTACGGACGATCAGATTATATCCACCACCACGCCACAAAGTGACTGGTCTGATTATTTATGAGGATCCAATACCCACCCACACAAAATACCCACCTAAACTTAATAAATATATGTAAAATCACCCCAAAAACGAAACCTTTATCGCCACAACCAATTTAATTTTCATATATGAAAAAAAATACTTTAAATCAAGTGTTTACATTCAAATTCAGTTTCTTCTCCTGGTTCCGGGAACGTATTGGTTTTTGGGTTTTGTGAAGTGAAAGCTGCTTCTCAACGTCCCGGAGGGCAGGTCATAATTCATTTCTCAAACTAATCTCACTCCTTCCGCGTGAATTCCTTCGATTCACTTACTTTTCCTTTCCGACGCAGTTTCCTTCTCAGCCAAACCAAACCAAACCACAAACCGAAGAAGAGAGTGAACGTGATGGTATCTTATCATCGTGAAATGATGATGAGATATGTGTGTGAATGCGATTTAGAAAGTGCGTGAGTTACTGGAACACAAATGCCGTTAAGATATTTACAGGAAGAATAAGTTATGTGAGGCGAGAAGTGATTTCAATTTTCGATAAAAATTGGGAATTTATTTTTTTCTCTGAAATTTTAGATTTTTATGGAATAAACAAGGTCCCTAAAAAGGGGAAATCTTAGTGAGGGAGTGCAATCACAACTAATAAATAAAATTAGATTGGAGAATTTTTGCATCACCGCTCTCGGTACCATTTTTACTGGATGCAGTATAAATTTTTCTTTGCATACGCATGAATTCTTAGTTTTATTGAATAAATTGAGGAAGGAATACATTTTTACTGTGTAGTGAACGAGAAGTGGGTTAAATTAACTGAGGTAGATATGTAAGATATAATGGCTAAATAATTCTGAGCTACGTATTTGTTTAAAAAAATATACAAATTTCAACTTCATATATTAATTTGGCTACTCTATGCAAAATCATCGAACCTTTTGAGGGAGCAAGTGTTCTATTTAAACGATTAATGCTTCCAGTAATAAAAATGGTACCGAGAGCGGTGATGCAAAAATTCTCCAATCTAATTTTATTTATTAGTTGTGATTGCACTCCCTCACTAAGATTTCCCCTTTTTAGGGACCTTGTTTATTTATAACTTTTAATTGGGGAATTAGATTGTCCATTGGATGACTGCATTGCACTACCCCTTTTCAGTAGTTTGATCCGGAATAATTTTATTAAATTCTGGGTGTTTAAAATTGAATAAATCCGTTATTTCTTAACCGATTTATATCATTTTGGTCAAAATGTCCGGCCTAGATTACTAAACACCAAAAGACCTGATCTGGAGGTGCAAAACCAACAACAATTTCACGCAGTTTACCAAGCATGTTACAGAAACAATTAGTTATGCTGTTTACAGTTTTGAATGTAATTTGTTTTCAATTTATTAGTCTTGCGTCGTTGTCAATGGCAATGATTCGTAGCACGAGCAGGAATTTCTGAACTTCAAATTGGAATAACTAAGCCAATTCTTAACGGATTTTGATATATTTATACTTAAAATTTTCGGGATAAACTGCCCTACAATTCGTGGGTATCAAACTTTTGATAAAGTTTGCTAGTAACTAGCAATAATTACAAATGTGTTTCTAAGGCTACATTTTTGCCCATAATTCCGGTCAAGATCACGTAATCCCTTAGTCGGATCAGATCCCGTTTCTATATTATGTAACAATAATCGGTGCAAAATTTCATCAAAATCGGTTGAAAAATGACTGAGATATCGCAGATGGTCACTTTTTTGGGGTGGGTCAAATGCATACTTAAGGTGCGTTTATGCTTCACGTCACCGTCACGTCCTCCTCCAAATCCGATTTTTTGATTGGTTAAAATTTTTAATTGTCGTAGTGATAATTTCGTTCAGCCAATCAAAAAATCGGATTTGAAGGAGGACGTGACGATGACGTGAAGCATAAACACCACTTTAGTAATTTTTTCGTTGTTAGGTATTTGCCTCACTAAGAAAAATATGTTGTGATGTGAAGTCAAATGTGAATTTTATGTAATGTCGCCAACACTAGTAATAAACTTAGATGCTTAAATGTAATTTTAGCAGTATTTTATGAGTTTTGAGAAATTTTACATATTTTTAAAAACAAAATTGGGGAATTATTTTTTTTATAAAATTTCGAATTTTTATAGACAAATGTCGTGATGTGAAGTCAAACATGAATTTTACGTAATGTTGCGACACTGTTTAAATAAAATTAGATTATTGCATCGATTTCAGTGGTATTTCAATAAGAATTTTGAGAAATTTTACATTTTTTTACTCTAATTTTACCGAATTTTACCGAATTTTACTCGAATTAGCTATAGTGGGATATTTCAAATAAGAATGTTAAGAAATTTTATATTTTTAAAAACTCCAAAAAAACTTCGGGAATTATTTTTTTTCTAATAATTTCAGATTTTTACGAAAATAAATGTCATGATGTGAAGTCGCATACAAATTTTGCATAATGTTGCGGCACTGTTGAAAAAAATTAGATCAGTAAATTATATACCTGTTT